CACATATAAAACAATGAAAAATAGAGAAACCGGAATGTGAATGAAAGTTTTTTGACGATCATTTACAAAAGAACCAACATCTTTATCAAATATCGCGATCGGATTTTTATAGGACTCAGAGAATATGCTGATATGCATTTACGAGAAGAAAATGTAAAATCAGGTGAGAAGAAGGAGCAGAATGACTGGAGAAAGCACCACAAACAGGTGAATTCTATGAAGTCGAAATGCTTGTTTCAAACCAATCAATATGCTTGAAATAGACAGGTGTGCTTGGTAAGAGTTGACAAATCTTATTTCATTAATTCAGAAAGCAAGTATCAAATATTTTTATAGAACAACACTGAAATCGGAAACTGATAAATAAGAAATTACTGTTTCCTCTTCTCGGTCATTGCTTCTGTTGCCAGCACCTCCAACAGGAATATAAGCCATTTGGAATTCAGGAATCACTTCTTTCTTCTTTTCGTTCTCCTTCACTTTCCTCTGAATCCATGCTTTCATAGGTGTCCAATTACATAAATAAACAGTCAGGATCCATAGAAATGGACAATAATATATATTGAAAATAAACTTATCAAATGATACTGGAATATCTGGATCCTCGATCAAAATTGATCTAAAGATTGTGGAAAATCGATATATTAGTATTGACAAAAATGATAAAAGTGAGTTGATTAAAACTGAAAATCCTTCTTCATCAATTTGAAGTCGAAAGATTTTCCATTGGAGGAACACAATGAGTGTTAGACAAGCAATCGAAAATTCGATGCAAAGTGGGAAAAAATCGAATTTGATTTCCTTATCAAATAAGTTGAGTATAAGACATTCTGAAAGTAAGACCTTGGTTTGAAGCAGCCCGTATCAGACAAATTGCTCAGAATAAAATTTTTTTAGTATTTAGACTATAGCTTTGCTCAAAATGAACATTTCTGTTTGATTTTTAGACGAACTAGTAAGGAACAAGATTGTGCAAAAAATGAACTCCGAAAATTTTCTCTGCGATGAATTTTTCGAAATTTTCAGACCGGAATATTTTTCGCACAACCCTGGTAGGAAACTTGAATGCGCAAAACCATAGTTGTGATTTTGAAGCCCGGCCCGGAGTAGACCGGAAGCCCGGCCGGGCCCGGTAAGCCCGGATAATTTTTTTTTTCGAATTTTTTCCCAATTTTTTTCAAAAAAAAAATTTTTTTTCAAAAGTTTTCGTAATGAAAGCATTAAAGTGTTTTGCTATCAAGGAATTATTGTAAAACAAACTCATGAAGCTCAAAAACTATGCTAAGTATTGTTATTCAAAGGTTTTTGAAAAAAATTCATAATTCGCGCCTCTTGTCCGGGCCTGCCGGGCTAGCCGGGCCGGGCCGGGCCGGGCCGGGCTTCGAATATTCTGACAGAAGCCCGGCCCGGCCCGTCACAACTATGCGCAAAACTCACGGTCCTGCATATAAATCATATAAATCCTCAAAACTACAAAAACTGGAAAAACGATGCAAGAAATGGCAGTTCGATTCCATTTCGTGTCCAACCACTCGATATAAATAAACTTCACATTAAAAATGACATAAAGCAACTGCAGAATTATCAAACATGACATTATGTAGCTAGAAAGAAGTAATGGTATCAAAAAGCAGGCCAACAAAAACCCGAAGATGTAATTCCCAGATTTGAATGGGCTCGCCGTACACAAAATCGTCACAATTAAATGGAAACACATATAAAAGTGTGGTAGTTGAAACGGTTGGATTTTCCTCTTCTTCACTATGTTGAGTATGTAAAGAACGATAAGTATTAGAGAAACCGGAAGGTGAGTGAATGTTTTTCGATAATCATTGGCATAAAGTTGTATGTCATCAATTATTAAACTCGAATTCCGATCAAAATGAGAATCGTTAGAAAAGCTGATATACATATTTTATTTTACTGACAAATAAGTTTCTAACCAGCAAAATTAGCAAATTGACAGGTGGAAGTATGTTTGTAAATAATTAAAAAAGATTTTGCCCTGCAGGTGAAAGTAATCCCGGAGCTCGAAGGTTAAAAAGCATCTGTTTTACAGTTTTTTTGGCCCTGAACCGTTTGGTACCACATTTGGCATGTGGTCATGGGTCACTTTTGGAGCTTGGTTTACTGACGGATTACGGTAGCTACAGTAGCCTCATTTTTTGGAAACATGCTCAAAATAAACGGATTTATTACAATTTATGAATGCAGTCTCGGTGGGACCCCAATACACCAGCGGACAATCGTAAAGATTACTGTAGGGTTACGGTAGCTACAGTAAGCCGAGTACTCCACTGGCAAGTGCTCTAGAAGTTACCTTCCAGAACATTCTGGTGTCTTCAGAAGAACCTGTTCATGTATGATTATTTCGGCGGGAATTCAAAAAAGCAGTGATTTTGGCGGGATTCACGAACCCCTAATATCCGACGGGTCCCCGAGAAAAGGGATGTGGTCCCCGCAATAAAGACAACGAAAATCTCTGAGAAAGAGAGGGAAGAGACGCATAGAAACGTTTTATTCACTTGAAAAACTCAAATTTGAAAGTAGGAATAACATTAACGTGTCGAATCACTTGTGACTGAGCCGGGGACGGTTTCCTGGTGGTGATTAGTTCGAAGAACACCAATACAGCGGTCAAAACAAGGCCAACAACTAGGATAATGAATATTCCACCAATGGATTCTCCATCGTCTTGATCCTTTCGTTTGGGTTGCTCGCAAACGACGCTTTTGTCCTGGAATTCGGGGTGAGAGACGCAGAGAAGCCGGAGTGTCTGGTTTCTCTGCGTCTCTCACTCTTCTCTCTCTCACTTACTTTCCACCACTTCTCCTTCAATTCCGTCAATTCTGTTTTCTCCTGCAGTCTCAAAATCGCCGTCGATATCAACTCCCTATAAGGAGACCCCTTTGGTAGACCAATCCCGTAACCCTTTTGATCTATCAGCCCGCCAATTTGCATCAGTTCGCAATCACGCTCCACCGCATACTCCAACATTGACGATTCCATTAAGTACGCGTAGTCGGAGCTCTGGAATTTTTTTTTCGATTTTTGACGAAATGAAATTTAGGGGCGTGGCTACCTTGACCCTAGCTATACCCTCCTTCGAGGACTGGACAAATAGTCCCGGGGTGCCGGACATTAGTTGCCACATTCGCTCGTACGTCTCGATTTTGGATTCCTGGAAAGTTTGTAGTTTGTAGTTTGTAGTCTTTGTAGTCTTCACCAACTCACATTGAAAAACGACATCGTTGACCCTCTTCCCAGGGTTCCATACTTAATCTTGGTCTGTCCTGCCAGGTCATCGGCATTTTCGATCGGGGTTTCCATCCTCCTGGTAGTTAGTACTGCTGCCAGATTTGCGGTGTATGAAGAAATGAGGATCAAAGCGAAAAACCACCAAATAGCAGTTAGAAGACGAGTGGAAGCGGCGCGGGGGCAAAGTTCACTTCCCTAGAAAACTAATTGTCGTGAAACTTGGTGTGGAGTCTGCAAACACCGTCAGGGGACACTTCCACGTCACTAGGATTACTTCAAAACATAGGGGAAAAAAGAAAAAAAGATTTGTAGCAAACAGCAGAAGGAAGGGAGGGCATAGAGAAAAGAGGGGCCCCGCTCTCTTCTCCTAAGGTGTAGGGAACGGATGTACGGACAAAAAAAAACTCAAGATACAAGGACATCCGGGCAAACCGACCTGCTGCATCAGGGAGCACACGGTGAACCAGAAAGAGTTCCTCAGAGAGAATTGATTATCCACAGGCTTGTACTGGCCATTGTCCTCGTCCCGTTCGAATTGCTCATAGGGACTGATTCTGAAATTTGTCGTAAGATATGGTGTCGAGTACGTAGTCACGTCAGATTGCGGACTTTCATTATTTTTTGAGCAATTTGACCGTTTTCAGCGCCAAAAATGAAAGTTGTCGTAAAATAAAGTGCCCGGGTCTGCAAACACCGGTGTATAAGACACCGTCACGTCATATTGCGGACTTCGAAGCTTTTCAGCATTTTTTGGTCAAAAATTATTCATTTTTGGCCTAGTTTCGTCTCAAATTAGCGTTCACCCGACATTTTTCCTCTAAAAACTATTTTTTCAAATAAAATTTCAAAGAAAATTCGAATTCCCGCCAAAACTACTTCGCAATAATCCAAATCGCCACCGAGACCACAAAATAGCTGGCAAATGTCATAATCCAGACTTGTGTGCTCAGCGGATCCATGAATTTGAACCAGTCCGAGTCGGTGATTCGGGGTTTCTGGAAAAAAAGTGCTACAGTAACCCAAAACTTTTTTTTCTACAGTAACCCACCTTGAACAAAATCGATATTCCCAGATGCATGTAGGGAACTGTGAAGTCGATGACTTCACTCCGTCCATAGCTGATTGTCAGTGAGGCTACTGCCAGGTCGGCGTCCTGTAAGGGTGGTCCGATTTCTTAGAAGGGTAGGACCAACTCACCCCCCTTTGGAGCTCTCCCACCATCCCACTCCATTTTCCATTGGATTCTTTGGATCCGTAGGCGTTATCGCGGACTTTTTGGATGGTATAGGTGAATTTGAGGATGTTGGCAATTTTCTGAAAAAAATAGAAGGACTTTTTTGGTAAAAATTTCAAAAAATTAGAAAAATTACTCTGCTCGTGTAGTCTGCGTGGACAAAATTCGAAAATATTTGTTACTAACTACTTACATGCAACAAATCGATACAGTATCCCTCATATGACCCATTCGATGTCATCATGACAAATGGAGCCTCTAAATACACTGAAATTTTCAGATGCTTCCCCTCCAGTGTCAATTTTTCACTGGAATTCGCAATGACGACGGCTTCTGATGAGGCGATCCGACGGGTTCGGCTACTCCATTCCGCGAATTTTTGGAAGGCTGGAAAAATTGATAAAACTGAAAAAAAAACTAGGAAAAATACCCCCACCCCCTTCTTCCCGGCGACAGAAGCTGCGCTTCCCTCTTTCCTCTACGCCCTCCACTCCGCCCTCTGTTTGTTGCACCTGCGGCCTAGCGGTTAGCGCGTTCCCTCTTGGATCTGAAGGTCGCGGGTTCGACCCCCACCCGGGGTAAAATCTTTTTTTTTTTTTGGAAGCCCCCCGAGGACCATGGGGAGTCCCCAAACTCACTAAGCTTCCTCCGATACACATGCAACGTGTAATTCGATCTCTCCCCAGATGGTGCCCAATACAAATCGCCGGAGATCCCATTTAATGGAGTTTCAAAGAATTTTTTCTTGATATCACTGCCCGCTTTCCACGTGTCACCACATCTGGGCTCCTCCCAGATATGAATGGATTTCATGGAGCGGATCAGGAGGCGAAGGGTGTCGATCCAGATAGATGTGGTGTACGGAATCCCTTTCTTCGGTAGTCGAATCGACGATTTATGCACAATTTCCTGTCGCATGTCCTCCACAAACTCAGAGTTTACATCGTGGACTCCAAAAGAGGTGATATTACAGTCGGCGATTCCACGCATACTATCGATATCAACGGTGACGAGATCCTGGGATTTTCTCGTATTTGTAGTCTAGTTTGTAGTCATACCATATCCATAACCACATAATGGTACAGTACCCCACACATTGACATGTTGGCGGCTTGCTCCAGGAAATGAAGAGCTCGGGGGAGAGGGATATTGATGACGATGCGGTAGCGGTCTAAAGAGACGCAGAGACGTGAGGTTATCTGGCCGTCTGCGTCTCCCTCTCTCGCCACTCTGGCGAGTGCGTGAGACGCAGACAACTAGACATTCTGCGTCTCTGCGTCTCCTATAACTCACCCAACTTATTCTTAATATGCTTCAACTCATTCCCATAATCATCCCCGTGTTTCAACCTGACCAACTGTGAAGAGAAGCTGTCCGGATCGAAATGCCCTGCCGTAATCATATCCGTCACCTCCAACAACTCATCGGCCTCCTCGAAAACCACCACCACATCTTTCCATTTTTCCCGTTTTATAAACGCCGCCACCGCCAGAGATTTGGCATTTAGATGGGGATGAAGGTGGGTGGACGGACGGGTTGGCGGGGAGAGGTGTAGACTGACACAAGGGACATTAGTGGTGTCGGCGATGCTCTGAAAATTGAAAAAATAAAGTGTAAAAGAAAAAACAAAAAACCTTGACCCCGGTGGGGTTGAACCTGGGGGTTCCAGATTCAAAACGAGGGCTTTTAGCCACTAGACCGCGCGCGCAGCGAAGAAAAAAGAGGGAGGGGGGGTAGGTACCCAAAGGCGCCGGGTGCCACTCTATTAGAGGTGTTACCTGAACAATAGCAGCTGCTGCCAGGTGTCCTTCATATTGTTCGGGTAGGATGATGGCGGATGCACCGAGAGCCAAGCAGTTGCATACTGGAAATTAGGTGATTAGACGCAGAGAAAAAAGAGTGTCTGGGTGTCTGCGTCTCTTTCTAGAACCCGTTCGTGAGAGACGCAGAGAAGCTAGACAGTCTAGCTCTCTGCGATCTTTTCTAGAGACTAACTTTCTTGTTTAATCCTCCACAATGGTTTCGTCTCGTATGGAATGACTTGAACCCGGAAATCGACAAACTCCAGCACCGGATTTATCTCGTCAATCAAATTGGCGGGAACCGCTGGAAATTTGAATTTTTTGTGAAAATTTTTTTTTGAATATTTGGGTTTAAGTTACCGATTTTATATGTGCTTGTTGTAGGAAATAAAGAGGAAAAAAGTGGTAAAAATAGTGAGATCGGGAGCATTGGGACTGATGAGGGAAGAAGGGGATTCCAAGTGAAAGAGGCCGGAAAAGAATGTGTCAGGAAGAATTAGGCAGAGATTTTGGGAGGTTGGGGTGCGCTAATTAGAGAAATTGGAGGACCAAAATGCAGTGGTTTGGTAGTCAGAAAAACTAAAATGAGAGAGGTGAGCCCCAGAGAAGTCAGAGTGTCTAGTTGTCTGCGTCTCTCTCTTTTTTTTGGTTTCTGTTATTTTGTATTACATTTTTGTCTGTATCTTATTTCATCAATCCAAAATCTTCATTTTCAGCCGAGTTATAGTCGAATAACTGAAAAAATTTTATTTTAAGCAATATCATAAAAATGTGAGAGGTCCCCAAGTTCAAAGGCGCATATCTCAAAAAGGGAAAAAGCTAGAAAAAAGTTGTCAACAGCAAAGTTGCTTAGAATTTTATGTTCTACAATTTTGTAGTTAACCACTTTTATCTAGCTCTTTTCCTTCCGGAGATATGCGCCTTTGAGAAGGTGTTCTCCCTACATGCGCTTGATCTCTGCTCAATTTTTTCATTTTCATCCAACCTTGAAGGTTTTTTTTGTTAGATCAAGAGAAAAAACTCTCGGCAAACTTTTTTTTTCTTGTCTTCCTCCTGCCAACATCTCTTATTCCTGGAAAATGTGCCAAAGGGGGTACTTGAGTGTGCTCCCCGAGAGCTCCCCCCGGGGGCTCCGATCTCTTATCTCTCTAAGAAAAAAGTAAGCAAACATCACTGATTGGGTAATGTTTACATAAGAAATGATCTTAATTACAACTTTAATAGTGATGGACAAAAAAACTTCTTTTTTTTTTCCAAAAAAAATTTTTTTCGAGCCCAAAAATGCTCTTTCTTGAGCACAAATCTGCTCCGAGAGTCATGAAATTTGGAAATTCGAAACCAGCGCGTCAAGACGGTTCAGAAAAGTATAAACATGCCTAGGTTTCAAAAAAAAATTTTTTGGGAACTTGGGTCCTACCACGAAAACCTTAAAATTACCGTATCTCGGTCAGTTTTTGCCTGATCTATATGAAATTGGTATCATTGGAATCAGCGCAATAAGCCGGTTTAGAAAAGTATAAGAATGACTAGGTTTCAAAAAAAAAAAGATTTTTTGGGATTTTGGGTCCCACCACGAAAAGATAAAAACTACCGTATCTCGGTCAGTTTTTCTCCAATCTCTATGAAAATGATATCATCGGAATCAGCGCGTCAAAACGGCCAAATTGAGTATAAGCATGACTAGGTTTTATAAAATTCTTGTTTGGGTCCCACCACGAAAATGGAAACACAACGGTCTTAATTACAACTTTATTTGATGAATTTGATGGGATGGAAGAAGTTGAAGGCAACACCGTGTTTTTTGATACATTTTTTTGGGGGGAGGATTATTGATTTTTTTTGGTTCTAAAAAATTTAAAGGTACATCGATCGCTGGAAATCGTAGAAAGCAGAATTCAGGGGACCCGAATGGGAGGACGTGTGGAGCGTCATTCCCAAAGGGTACCCCCAGAAATTCAGAGCGAATCGTTCAAAAAGGGATACAAAAAAAAAGATTTACGGAGAGAAAAATTTAACAGAAAATTACAAAACTATGAGAAATTTTGTGGGGGGCGGGGCAGCAGGACAGCTGGGACTGATGGGAAAAAAAATAAATGTGACGACAGGGAGAAAATCGAAAGAGTGGAAGGCATCATTTTGGGAGAAATTCTGATGGAACATTTACTTGGCGGTGGCCGAGCGAACGACCTGTCCGCGCATACGAACCAGGGAGTTCTCGGCGACCTCGGCACGCTCTTCGGCATTCTCGAGAGCGAGTTGGATCTGTCGGAATTTGGACAGATTCTGGGTGGCGACTTCTTCCTGAAAATTGATGGAGGTTGTAGATCAAAAAATTTGCTATCGATTGATATAAAATTCAATAGTTTTGCATCAAAAAATTCGGAGAAAATGGAACTTTTCCGATTTTTTCTATTTTTTTCCAGCATTTTGAGGTTTTTTCCCATCATGTTCTTGGACCAACCCTATAGTTTTTATACCAATCGGTAGAGCGAAAAATTCTCTATTGATTGCTGTAAATTTCATATGGTGTTGCATCACAAAAATTGGCTCTAAAATCGAAAAAACCAAATTTTGCTCAAAAATCCAAATTTCGAGCCCAGGTTGGCTCATTTTTGCTCCAAGAGCTACGGAGCCTAAATATTCAAAATCAGCTCGTCAAGACGGTCAAAATGAGTATAATCATGACAAGGTTTTGAAAATTTTCGAATTTTGGAATTTTGGGTCCCACCACGAAAATCTAAAAACTACTGTATCTCTGTCATTCTCAGTTGGATCCCAATGAAAATAACACTATTAAAATCAGCGCGTCAAGCCGGTCAAAATGAGTATAATCATGACTAGGTTTGAAAATAAATTCAAAATTTTGGGATTTTGGGTCCCACCACGAAAATCTAAAAACTACCGTATCTCGGTCAGTTTTGCTCGGATCTCAATGAAATTTTTATCATTGGGATCAGTGCGTCAAGACGGTCAAAATGAGTATAACCATGACCAAGTTTCAAAAAAATTATGTCTAACTGTCTGCACACTCACCGCCTCTTCGATTTGTCTCTTCTGGACACGAATCTTCTGCTGGAGCTTCTCAACGTTCTCCTGGAGTCGGTCGAACGCCTTCTTGTCCTCCTCGACTTGGAATTGAAGCTCACGGGCGCGTCGCTCCTGTTTGGTGAATCCCTTCACAGCCTCTTGGTGTCTGCGTTGCTCCGAGTGCAACTCGGCCTCCACGCTACGGACACGCTCCTCGACCTTTTGAAGGGCCTTTGCTCCGACTGAAAATATGCAGGTAAGGGGGCTGGGGGTTTTAGAACTCACATTGAATCATGGCACGTTCGGCGTCATCGATCTTGGCCTGGAGTTCCTTGGCGTTGAGCTCAAGGGACTTGCGTTGTCTGTCGACGTGAACGGCGTGCTCTTGCTCTTGACGGACCTCTTCGGCGAGACGGTCGGCATCGGCGGCGGCCTTGCGGGCACGCTCCTCCGAGGCCTTCAACTCGTTCAAGTACTCGTCCAATTCGTTCTGTAAAATAGAGATGTTTAGGGGTTCAGGTAGCTGGTTAGTTGGGTCCAATTGTCTGGGTTGGTCCTAGGTGACCAGGACCAGGGCAGGAATAGTTATTGGATCTTAGCAACGCAGTTGAACCTAGCAAAGCAGTTGGTTCAAGCAGTGGGGTGCTCGGTACCAAAATACTACACCGACCCCGCAATCGATAGGGCCACGGGCTTCATGTCGATCCCGGACGGGCTCTTGGAAAGATCCAAGACGCTATCGAGCGCATCCT